TTTCAGTCTGACCGGTCAGATCGGATTTACGGATTTAGCTTCATGTTTTCACGCCACGTAAAACGTAAAAACGTAAAAACGTAAAAACGTAAAACGTTTTTGTAGAAAAGTAGAAAACAGTCTTTACAGAAACTTTACAAGAAACGGCGTTGCCATAGAAACCAACGCATATTCCATAAAGCGAAAGAGCGCTTATGGACACACAAATCGGATATGAACAGTTGCAATACACAGTGTGGACAGTCAGTTATTCAAATCAGATTCCATCCGGATATGCACAAAATCGGATTTGGGCAGTTTGAACGAGGCTTTTGTCTACACAGGATGCGGCATGGCGCGACACGACAAATCGCCGAAAGTAAACGGATTCCCTGTTCTATTTCTGTTCTATTCCCTGTTTTTTATCCAGTGTTGACAACTTCAAGCTGCCGTGTAGACACGGTGCTAAAGTGATATACACAGAATTCCAATAATCCTGCTGTTGATCAAAGAAAATAGGACAAAAAAATAACAATAACTCACTGCTCTTGTACTTTAAAAAAGATATAAAGACTATAGTATTATTTGATTAGTGTAATTTATTACATTTCTGTAGGCTACCAGAAAAATCACTGTTAGACCTGCCTGAAATGCACCGTATCTATTTGTGTCTTTGTTGTATAGTAGGCTATGTTGTGCTATTGCTTGTAATTTGATTTGCTCTTATTTTACAACTGACTATTTACTAGTCTTTAAAAATGTAGCCTATTCAATTTTTATTGGTTAAGCTAGTAGTTTTAGCAGGTATCGAAACTGGAATCAAGGATTGTGATTTTTTGCAATTATCAAAAATTTTGGTGTCATAACTGCCTGTTTTTTTCCTTAGCTGATAAAAATATTTCTGGACGGTAAATTTCCTTAAGTCACTGGCCATTGGTAGGTCTGGCAAAAAGTTAGTTTTAGGCCCTGTATATAACTGAAAATATAAATAAAAAAGCTGACAGAAATAAATACGTTAAAGTAATAAATTTACTAAAACTGAAAAAAAAAACTAAACTGAAATACAGAAAAAAACTACAAAAGCACATGACAAAATGACTAAAAATTAAAATGACAAGTGAAAATATAAAAATAAAAATAAAAGCTAATTGAAATAAATATATTAAGTACTAAATTTACTAAAAAACTAAAACTAAAATACAAATAAAGCTAATTAGAAATATAACAAATAAAAATGGCACGTAACAAAATGAATAAAAATTAAAACGACTACTGAAATATAAAAATAAAAACTGTTTGAAATAAATAGGCTAAAGTATCAAATTTACTTAAATTAAAAACGATCTAAAAATAAAGCAACACAGAAATATATGAAAGAACAAAAATAAATATTACAAAAGTACACAATAAAATTGACAACTGAAAATATAAAAATAAAAGCTAACTGCAATAAAAAGGGTTAAGTAATAAATTTACTAAAACTGAAACTGAAAAACAAATAAAGCTAAACAAAAAATACATAAAAATGGCACATAAAATGACTAAAACTTAAAATTAAAACGACAAATGAAAATGTAAAAATAAAAGCTAATTTAAATAAATAGGTTAACGGTGAAGCAATACATCTACTAAAATTGACAAAAAAAATTAAAGGTAACAAATATAAAAAAATTAAAATGACAAAAGCACAAAAATGTCTAAAGCTTGAAATTAAAAATTAAAATAAACAAAAAATAGCTAATTGGAAATATGAATTAATATATTAATAATAGTAAAATATTTGACATGCATGTCACTGAAGCTCAGCAATCAGACACAAGCTTCTCTATCATCAGTTCATCAAACGCTGCTTCATCACGTCATGAGGCTCGAGATCAAGCAGAAACACCTGCTGACCGTTCAGATCAGACGCGACACACAGACGATCGTGACGCGATGGTGCCTGTAGCGTCTCGACCAATCTAACACACTAATTTTAATTTGATTTAACAAATCAATTATTCATTAGGTTAACAAATCGTCACAGTCCCCTCACTCAATAAACTGGATGCCAGAATGTCTGCTGAACACCAGACCCTCTGGTCACCATGACAACTAATCATGATATCACTGGTTTTATTACGCCTCCAGGAATGTGAGTAGGATAACCCATTCTGTGTCCCCAGGACAAACGCACAGTAGAAATGGACTTTTCTACTAATTAATTCATAGGAAAACCTTTCTTTGAATGAACACACATTTTCTTCAGGCCATTGTGTATATTATTGCTGTGTTGTATTTAATCTGTTGTATTATAGACTATTTTTATTCATGCTTACGATAAACCACTCATTCATATAAGTAACTCTACCATGTCTAGTATCTATGAATTCGTCTTCGGATGATCTAACTGAGAGTGCATATTACATGCTGATACCTCTGCAACATATGGATGTTCTAAGAATCATTACTAATTTCTGCATCAACACCCAAGTGAATTACATATGCAAAATACCATGCTTACAGACAAAATCCTCAGTATTTCCAACCTCCCGCTTGGGATTTCAGCCTTCCTCATTGGACGAACCCATCTTGAGAGGCGTGAATCTCCGCAGGCTTTAAAGGCCACACTTCATGTGACCCGCCCCAGTCGTGGTTCGGTCAGATGCAGATGAAGATGTGACTCGCGCTGAGTGGGAAGTTTAAACATCCGAGGCCCCGGCCTGAAAGCCGCGTCTTGAGCTCTGCTTCCTTCCTGCGCTTTATGTCAAAAATTATGTCAAAAATGCCCATCTCTGTGAGTATCCTAGTAAAGTAGTTGGTTCTTAAGTGAACATGAACAGCTGAGAAAGAAACCAAACACGAACCGCGCACAACACAATGCGTCACAAGACAATATAACCCATTATAATCAGTGCTTTAGCCTCATTCAGACTGTCAGCCCAAATCCGATTTTTGTGCAAATCCGATTGAAATCTGATCATATTTAAATAGTCTGAACGGCAACGAACTACATGAAATCAGATTTTTGCAAATCCGTTTCGAGCTACATTCATATGTGGTTTGGAATCCTATTCAATTTCAGTCTGACCGGTCAGATCGGATTTAGCTTAGTCTTTTCATGTTTTCACGCCACGTAAAACGTAAAAACGTAAAAACGTAAAAACGTAAAACGTTTTTGTAGAAAACATAATGAACGTCTTTACAGAAACTTTACAAGAAACGGCGTTGCCATAGAAACCAACGCATATTCCATAAAGCGAAAGAGCGCTTATGGACACACAAATCGGATATGAACAGTTGCAATACACAGTGTGGACAGTCAGGTATTCAAATCAGATTCCATCCGGATATGCACAAAATCGGATTTGGGCAGTTTGAACGAGGCTTTTGTTTACACAGGATGCGGCATGGCGCGACACGACAAATCGCCGAAAGTAAACGGATTCCCTGTTCTATTTCTGTTCTATTCCCTGTTTTTTATCCAGTGTTGACAACTTCAAGCTGCCGTGTAGACACGGTGCTAAAGTGATATACACAGAATTCCAATAATCCTGCTGTTGTCTGCGTTTTTAATGTTGATCAAAGAAAATAGGACAAAAAAATAACAATAACTCACTGCTCTTGTACTTTAAAAAAGATATAAAGACTATAGTATTATTTGATTAGCGTAATTTATTACATTTCTGTAGGCTACCAGAAAAATCACTGTTAGACCTGCCTGAAATGCACCGTATCTATTTGTGTTTTTGTTGTATAGTAGGCTATGTTGTGCTATTGCTTGTAATTTGATTTGCTCTTATTTTACAACTGACTATTTACTAGTCTTTAAAAATGTAGCCTATTCAATTTTTATTGGTTAAGCTAGTAGTTTTAGCAGGTATCGAAACTGGAATCAAGGATTGTGATTTTTTTGCTATTATCTAAAATGTTGGTGTCATAACTGCCTGTTTTTTTTCCCATGGCTGGTAAAAAATATTTCTGGCTGGTAAATTTCCTTAAGTCACCGGCCAATGGCAGGTCTGGCAAAAAGTTAGTTTTAGGCCCTGGTTACACCCCTAGTTCTAATATTAAAAACATGCTTGTTTTTTGTACTTAAAATAAAAAAATAAATACATAAATAGTACATCAGTGGCAACGTATTTTCATTATGTTTTGGATTCAATCAGAAAGGGGGCCAACACTTTTTCACACCACTGTATATATATATATATTTGTTTTGTTTTTTGTTATTAAAGCCAGTCAGTGCTTAGGGCACCAAAACAAAAGGATACAATATAAAATAATTCAGTTTTTGAATGAGGGATAGCCTGGGTCTGATCTCTATATTTCAGTCTGGCACCCTAAATGCAATAATATCACAACATAGTGTTGTAAAAGTTCATCTGATAGTTAGCTGGCATGTTTTCCTGTCTCCTGCATCTCCTCTCCTGCATGCCCTTCTTCACAGACAGTTTTGGAGTTGTTTTTAATGAGCTCCCATGACTAGCCTCTATAATCACTGTAAATCAGTTCAAAGGCTTGACTACACAGGGGCCAGATTAAGCAGAGTACAGGAAGAGATTTATCTGTGCCTACAGCCAGTGAGTCATGCCTCACGCTGCCCTTATAAAAAAAATGTGTGAATGAGGGGAAAAGAGAGAGAGACGAGACACAGAAAGACAGTAAAGAACTGTTTACACCTGGTACTGACATGCATCTCCTCGCAACTGGATTTTGAGGCGAGAATCTCTGCTTTTGAGACTACAAAGATGTTGAGAAAGCACAAAAAGTGAAAACTAGTCTAAGGCCGGTTTTACACCACAAGCGTGAGCAGTGTGTGAGCAGGTCATATTTTTTTGGTATGCATGTTAAAGGGATAGTTCACACAAAAATGAAAATTCTGTCATTAATTACTCACCCTCATGTCGTTCTAAACCCATAAGACCTTCGGTCATCTTCGGAACACAAATTAAGATATTTTTGATACATTCTGAGAGGTCTCTGACCCTCCCATAGACAGCAAGGATCCTTACACGATCAAGGCTCAGAAACGTAGCAAGGAGATCGCTAAAATAATCCATGTGACATTAGTGGTTCAACCGTAATTTTACAAAGCTACGAGAATACTTTTTGTGCGCAAAGAAAACAAAAATAACAACTTTATTCAACAATACGTCTCCTCCGCGTCACCCTGGCGCCATTTTAGGCCTGATCACCGACGATGATGAATCAGTCTACAGAGAAGAGGTGTGCACCCTGACTAACTGGTGCCACAAAAACAACCTCTATCTGAACATCAAGAAGACCAAAGAAGTGGTGGTGGATTGACGAGACGGACCAGTGAGAGCTCCCTCATCACCATCAACGGGACTCCAGTGGAGCGGGTCAGCAGCTTCAAGTTCCTCTGCGTTCACATCACCGAGGACCTCACCTGGACTACTCACACACAGTCAGTAGTGAGGAAGGCCCACCAGCATCTCTTCTTTCTCAGGCGACTGAAGAAATTTGGTCTGAGCTCAAAAATCCTCAGACAGTTCTACAGTTGCACTGTGGAGAGCACCCTGACTGGTTGCCTGGTACGGGAACTGCACCGCTCTCAACCGGAAAGCCCTGCAGGGAATAGTTCAGACAGCCCAGCACATCGTCGGAGGTGAGCTTCCCTCCCTCCAGAACATCTACACCCAGAGATGTGTGAGGAAAGCAAGGAAGATCATCAGAGACTCCTGCCACCTGAGCTATGAACTCTTCTCGCTGCTACCATCAGGCAGATGGTACCACAGCATCAGGAGCCGAACCAGCAGAACGCGAGACAGCTTCTTCTCGCAGGTCATGAGACTACTGAACTCCAGATAGCAAAACGATACTACCCCTACCCCTCACACTGGATTCCATCTACACCCCAGCCACACTGACTCTGACAGCACTGCAGCATGTCTTGCATTGCATAGCATAAAACACATGCAGCTCCATCTTCTCTCCTGTACTAACAAACTACTGCACTGAACTTCACAGTAAAACACTAACAGTATACATCACTGTAAGTCATATATAAAAGCTATACATACATTTATAAGTCTCTTGAGTATACTGTGTACTATGTGTATATTATGGAAATGTGTATATTGTATATTGTGTACAATTGTCTATTGTATACTGTGAAAAATGTGTATATTGTGTAAAATGTGCATATTGTTATTAATGTATATTGATAATTTTTCATATCTTGTTGCTTGTACTGCCATGGCACAGAGTCTTGTACCTAATAATTTCACCATCGTTACACTTGTGTACCCGATGTGTGACAATAAAGAAATTTAGATTTAAAAAAAATATATATATTTTGGAGAGTATCACATATGTAAACAATGTATGCTTTTCTGTGTCAGCAGCACCGTACACGGATACAGTGTTTACATTGTTTACACTTTGATCTGAACGTAAACAACGTATCCGTGTACATACGTTGCATACGTTGTTTGCGTATGTGATACTTGCACTATAGGGTGGCGCGGAGGAGACGAATTGTTGAATAAAGTCATTATTTTTATTTTTTTGCGAGAGAGCTCTCGGAATGCATCAAAAATATCTTAATTTGTGTTCCAAAGATGAACGAAGGATTCATCTAACAGGTTTGGAACAACATGAGGGTGAGTAATTAATGACAGAATTTTCATTTTTGGGTGAACTATCCCTTTAAAAAGTTAGTGCATTCATACCGGGAGCAGGAGCAACGCATGAGTATCACGCAGGAGTTCAGAATAAGCATGTCTAATGTGTTTTTAAAAGAATTGGAGTATGTCAGAAAGGAAAATGAAGAATCAAAAATATGTATAGAAGACATATGTTAAACTTGTTATTAATTATTTAGTTTGGGTGAAAGTATGGTGTATTATAAAAAACATTATAAACAGCATGTTCTATATCGAAGTATGACTATTAAATGATTAGATTACAATTCTATGAAAATCATATGACAGCTGAGATAAGATGCCCCTGATGGTTTCTTTTGCTAGATAGGGGATCCTTTTAACCCATTACTGGGACAGGATGGTATCTTTATATGATTTTGACTTTACATTATATTTCTTCTTGGGGACTAATAAAAGTATTTTTCTGTCTGTTTAACCATGCATTTAATCATCTCACCCTTTTAAGATCCCTGTAATCGGCAGAGAGATCTCTTGCCAAGCGTCCTTCCAGTGTCCAGATCTCTCCCAAATCAGTGGAGAAGCTGACATTCCGTTCTCCACCACTGACAGGAGCACTGTTCCATTGAAATCCCCGCACAGATACAGAGAGAACTGCAACTACACAGAAAAATTTGCAGTTGAGCGTCTGCTACAAGACCAGATGCCCCAGAATAATATCTTATTCATGGACAATCAAGTGTAAAATTGAAACTTTGGCTGAATGTGTTGTTACTCTGTGTAAGCTATTTGTAGATAAGCTGCAGAGATGTGTCCTCATTTTTCACGGACAATTAACTTGAAATCTGCCTCAGAATCCAAATACTGTGGCACAGACAAACCACTATTTTATGTGAACAGTCATACATACACTACTACTCATAAAGTTGTGGTTAATAAGTTGCTTTCAGCAAGGATGCATTAAAATGATCAAAAGACGTATAATATTACAAACGATTTATACTTCAAATAAAAGCTGAAGACTGAAGTAAACATTAAAATAGAAAACAGATATTTTAAATTGTAAAAATATTTGACTATATTGCTAGTTTTACTCTATTTTAGATCAAATAAACGTAGCCTTGGTGAGCATAAGAGACTTCTTTCAAACACATTTTTTTTAAAAATCATAGTTTTTGACTGTCAACATAAACTCTTACCTGACAGTCCTGATTGGACACAGTTGAAGGAAGAGCTGGGCTTTGAACCAACGCCTCACTTTCTTCACCACGACCTCTGACCTTTAAAAAAAGAAAGTGCCCTGAGGCGAGAAAGTATCAGTACTCTATAGAGTGCTCAGATATGCTTACAAGACAAAAAACTTAATAGGCGAGGTTGGAAAACATCTAAAAAATGGGCTTTTAAAGTCTTCCAACACAGTGCAGACAATTTTATAAAAAAGGTAGAGTTTCTCACAAACAAAAAAAAAACAGTTTGTCTTTTTTTTTTTTTAAAGTACATTTCAGTTTAGCGAGTTGGAATACATCTAGTCATAAAATGGAGTTGGACACCTGTACCATGGATCTGAGATTTAGTCTTGCATCATTCTACAAATACATCCCACTAAAATACTCCTACAGCCTGTAAATCATTACGTACTCCTCTCAAGGATAACATTTTTTATCATGTTAAAATCACAGGTCCCATTAACACATCATGAAAATAGTTCTCCTTCAAATATTTTTAATTCCCATGTCATAAAAAAATCCCACTGGTGACATTCATAAATAAAAGCATTGCGAAGAGACATTTAAACGATGATCTTTTTATACACATGGGTCTCCTATGTGTCTCTGTCTCAAAGCTGTTGTATTAATCTGAAGAGAATACAACATTTTTGCCAAAAAAAGAAAAAAATGTCTATGAGCAAACATGGAAAGCAAAGCAACTAAATTCACATATTAGTTAAACTAAATCACCTAATGTCTCTCTTAGACTGCTTGCACATATCTGCTATTTATTTAATATTCTATGTTTTGTAAAACATTTTGATGTGACATATCTGTGTGAGAATATATTTTTGCAGCTTTAGAGGCCTTGGACGATTAAATACACACACATGTATGTATTAAAATGGCCGTCTTTGCAAGTATCCTCATAAACACAGTAATTTAGGTATTAAGTGAAAGCAAACAGCTGAGAAAGAAGACGTGTAACAATATATGGATCCGGGCAGCTCTTAAAGTGACAGCAGTCTATTCCTGTTGTCTGTCATTCATGTTAATCAAACAACAAAAGAGAGAAAATCTCCCACTGCTCTTGACTAAATCACTTTTGTAACTTTAATAAGAAGAAATATATATTTAATTTACACAGTGAAGAATATGCAGTGTTTTTATAAATTTGATTACTTTATACACTGTATAGCTTTTCTTATTTATTTGTTTTAGTGTAGTTTTTTGTCCTATTGCTTGTAATTAGTTTCTTATTTGCATTTAATCAATAGCTGGGTTTGCATCACCCTGCTTTTATGCGCATTTTGAAGTATCACATCAGAATCGAGTGAAAACGCTGAATTTCAAATAAAAACGCCTTAATTCGCAAAAAAGTTTTTACGCTCGCTTGAGGTGGTTTTTGACTTGTGCGAAAAATGGTTAATGCGAATGATGGGAGATGGAAATGCATTTTGCGAATAAATTCCTCCAAGTGCATCAAAAAAGTCATGTGACTTTTCGTTATGGGACGGCAAATCCTGACTAACCAGCAGACCGATCTTGTTCCACAGCATCTGAAATGTTGTTATATGGTCATTCGGAAATGCCCGAGCAAAGTCTGTCATCAAAGTATTTCTGTATAATTGCCTCTCAGAACTGTTAAATGACTGTGTTCCCAAACAGTAGCATCCACTTCCGAAAGCAATAACCGAATTCATTGTGTTTTATCTGCTCGTTCTGAGGTGCAAGTAATTTATTATATATTAAATTATTATATTCAGTAGCTTCTCCTACTTTTCTTAGTGATGTATAGCGCCAGTTTATCAGGAAATTACGATTTTGTTCGCTCTGACTCGTTGGCCGGAAACAGTGCTTGTTCACAAATGTTTTATGCGATATTCCAATTTTGCGCATAAGTTAAATTCGCAACTTTGGATGGAAACCTGGCTACTGACTGTTTACTTGTCTTCAGTGAGCTTGAGTTTTTTTTATTTAGGCTAGTATTAGTTTATTTGTGGTATGGACACTGGTGACAAGAATTATGAAATTTCTATGGTAGCAAAAATTTAGATATCATAAGGACCTTATTAAAGCAAATATTGTGATATACTGTATATCATTACTGTGAAATAAAATTACTCATATCATGATATAAGATTTTGGTCATATCACCCACCCCTAGTTTTATGTTTACAAAATGTGCTCTGTATATGTACTAATATCTATTCACAAATAATTTATATTATAAATTCAACAAATTTATACACCACCGTTCAGGTTCTGTAAGACTTTCTAATGTTTCTCAAAGAAACCTGATGTATTGTGAAATATACAATTTTAAATAACTGTTTTCCATTTTAACATTAAACAATTTATTACTGTACTCATCAGCATTATTTGAAGTATAAATGTTCTGTAATATTATGCAATTTTTACTGTCACTTTTAAACACATTTTAACATTTGGATGTCTTGAGAATGGAAACTCTGATGGGTAACCAATCCAATGACTGAAAGAAGATGTGGTTTCACATTTACCTTGAGTGTTTTGCAGAGTTGTGCCCAGTAGATCTGTGTCTTCATTCAGTTGTTGTCCACTAACTAGTCTCCAAGAGGACAGTGAATCAGCCACTGACCATCCACATGAGTCCAACTCAAATGAACAGTATGAGCCCAAAGGTAAGGAGTCTGTGAAGACATTAAGCAAATTATGAAATGTCTAATAAATCTGTATCCGCAAAATACAACTAACTGTGTCGGCAAACATTAGCAGAGCTTTAAAAGCTCATCAGAGAAATATTACATTTCCTCCTTCCATTTATCCATTAAGTCCACTTAAATGTATCATTATGATGCCTATATCAACAAAGCCGATGCAGTATGTTTTGCCAGTTTGTTCAGTTCAATTCAAGTATTACATGATTCCAATGTCATTTACTTCCAATAATAAACAAACCATAGCTATGTTAACATGGGACAAGGACAGGTGGATTGTTTTCCAGACCCCAATTTAATTTCTTGCTGGAAATACCAATTTCCTCCTGTACGAACATGTTGTGTAGTGGCACATTAAGTATTTTAATGGCACACAATTTATTTTTAGTTTGTAACGACAAGAGCTGAGGAGAAATAAAACATTTCATTGCAGTCTAAAATGGATGGTTTTAATAGAGATGAATCACCATGAGGCAAATTGTGCCTCAATTAGCTTTACACTTTAAATATTTCATACCTAAAATGACAGCTGATATGACAAGACTCCAACTAAAGTGTGCTAATATGGTCTCTGGATATTAGGTATAGGATAGGACAGATTTAACTAACTGACAGATTCATTATACAGAGGACATGTTTTATAATGTCATGGACGTAATTAACAAGCTTAAACTTAGTGGGAGTTACTTTGATCATCTTCATTAGGATGCTGTCAGAGTTATTTATCATATGAATCCCTTCACATAACATCAAAAGTAGTTTCCACATGTCTATATCAGAGGAAAGAATACAAATTCTTGGTCTACAATTCGAGATAAGGCTAGAATGCTTCTACATACTTCTGCATTACTTTTGCCAAATATGTATAATGTATACAAAATGTGCATCATTTTATTTATAAAATATATACACTACCAAATAAAAGTTCACCAAGGCAGCATTTATTTGATCAAAAATACAAGAAAAACAGTAATCTATAAAATATTGTTTCATGTTTTTCTATTTTACAATGTTTTCTATTTTAATATATTTTAAAATATAATTTATTCCTGTGATGGCAAAGCTGAATTTTCAGCATCACAACTCCAGTCTTCATAGTCACATGATCCTTCAGAAATCATTCTGATATGATGATTTGCTGCTCAAGAAAAATTTCATATTATCAATGTTGATATGACAGCAAAAAAGTGCTAAACAAATAAACTTAATTGAATTAAATTGTAAATTATTAATCAAATACTGTTTGTTGCAGTTTAAATTATTTATCATCACATAGTTGTTACTGGCTTTTTTTAATGCTGAACGAGTAGCTAATCAACCTTTTAGGGTTCTTTTGTTAATTCCATAATAATTACCAGAATGTTTATGCAATGTATTTAGCAAATAAATCTTTAATACATTTGAATAGACTGCCTGTAAATATGGATTTCTTCTATGAGTCTTTGTTCTCACCTTTTTTATCTAACTGGATTATACTGTAAGTGCTGTGTGCCAAATATACCATCTACAAAGTTCTTTGGACACAGACAATAATTAAAAATCATCTAAGCATAGTATAAATGTTAATGGAGATGAAGTAAATCAATAAATATGCAAATAGTTTTCCTAGAGGAAAGCAAACACTCATGCATTTCAGGCGTTTTATGCAGCTCTTTACTCAGTGAAAAGCTTTGACAGAGCAGGTTTGCTAATCCAACGCCTCCAGTGAAAGGATTAGAAATTTATCATGGCCTTAAGATTTAATACAGCTAATGTGAGTGACACACAGCCAGCCAGTTACTCAGTGGCACCCACTTATATCGCCCTGTCACACTGCTGTTCATACTTTAATTGAACACTCTCAACGAAATGCAAATTGGCAAGAATGATCTCGCAAATCTTACGGATTTATAGCTTAAAGGCCACCTTTCAAAGAAATGTTTTGATTATCATAAACTGAATTAATGGATTAGTGAGACACAGCCTGTTCTCTACATTTAAAATAACAAAATACTGTCTTTTTTAAAGACTAAAGAGCTCCACACAAACTTAATGGTCTGATGTGCGCAACAGCTATTGCATTAAACTCTGAAAAGGGATCAGATTTTGAGTGTGGAGCTCACAATTATTGTCAGACTGGTAAACAGAAACTACACATCTTCATGGCGTATAAAATATTAAAAAGCTTTCATTTTACTCACTGCATATTAAGCCCTCATCTTCCCCTTGAGGACAGTCAGTATGAAAATCACACACTCTTCGCTTCTCAATGCAGCCTCCAGAATGACAGTGAAGTGATGAGTATTTCTCACAGTCTGAACCCAAATCCAAATAATCATCACCTGTAGAAAACCACAGAAAACCATACTTAAACCATTGCTTAAAATAGGCAAATTGATAGTGATAAAGTAGAAATGCTCTACAGACACAAGTAATACATACAACACATTTGAATTAGATAATATTTGAGAATAATTAATAAGTCGTTACCCATCACACAATCCTTCAACTCAAGTGAATCAAATGCAAGAAATCCGACTTCATGGCTGCTACAGGAAGAGTATTGCACGGTCACATGGAAAGACTCATCTAACTGGCCAATAACAGCCTCCAGCACCTCCCACTGCGACCTGGGACACACAAAAATAAATGCTTTTAACAATCATTTTAGATCAGCCCAAAGGATGCAAAACATAATGGACACACAAGGTCGAAATCATCTGCACATCTGCTGAAGACAGTTACAGTTTGTCTTTGTTTTATTCTTCACATAGCCACTTTGAGTATACAAACCTACGATCAGTTTAGTAGTGTTTCTGAATATTGAGCTAAATAACTACGAGAGAGAAGCCGGCTTTGTGGAACTCATATTACAATATATGTTATTAAAAAAATTCATACATGAATCTCTCAACTACATGTGAGAGTGCTTCATTAGATGTACAGGAGCTTAAGTACAGTGGAAAGCTAATGCATTCTGTACTATTCATAGATCTCTGAGTTGGATGGTATTATTAAGTATATGACTGATTTGTATAATACACCACACTCCATGGCGTAACCTCTATTAGGCTCAGATCCATATAGCCAAATGCAGAAAGTATAAGTATATTAGCTACGTCATGATCGTACAGGCTTGTTCCAAATTGCATTGCATCACCATCTATTCCTAGCTCTCTGTCAGAATCAATTACGCCAAAAGAAACATCAGGTCCTACTTTTAGAAACTAAATGCTTTCATCCATCTTCTGTGTGATGTGCCCAGCATAAGAAAATCAATACCAACTACATCTCCATAACAAAACTCTTTTGGTTGGCATTCGTTTCTTGTGGGTACAGAATGCTGCTTTATACTATTCTGTGTGAAAGTAAAGTGCATATGTCATTGTTCTTTTATTTATTTTCAAATTAGGCACTGAAATGTATGTTCTCATTTTATGACCTGTCAATCAGATCTGTTATGACATCACAATTATATTTAGATATTGCTGTGTGATATATATATATATATATATATATATATATATATATATATATATATATACTCCGTAAAAAAAGAAGCATCCATTTTCAGGATACTGTATTTTAAAGATAATTTTATAAAATTTAAATAAGCTTTACAGATGGAAAAGGTTTAAACAATATTTTTTCATACTTGTTCAATAAACTACAAACTATTTTTACACATGCATCTATGGAACAGTCCTTAAGGCAGGTTTAAAGGTGGTAGGCAAATATGGTCACAGTTATGATAACTTTGAAAATATATCTAAATTTGTCACCTGCCAGTTCCTTTGACTGTAAGGGCTATTGGTTTGATGACGGAGTGGTCGGTGTGTTTCACAAAGGCAGATATGTTTCCTGTATGTGGTTCCGGTTGGAAGCGAGCGAGACGAAGACGACACAGTGGCCCACTGCTGAGCACTACAGGACTAATCAGGTGGAAACTACATCTGCCAGCAGCGAAATGAGTTGAGGTGGGCTTTAGTAACAGAAAATGACCTGTTGAAAGACAGAAAACTCTTACTGGACTGCCAGTGATTATACAGACAATTGATTCATTGAAAAAATGATCAACCAGCTAGTGTTTGATCTGAATTGAGTGTCAAAATATAATGAAGTTATTATCAATACCTTCTGATTTTCCAGTGGAATAATCTTTGATTGGCTGGACTCCCCATCTATTGGCTCTGTATTGCTGTGGTGATGTGACATACCAGTCCCCTCCAGCGCTGTGATTGGATAACGTCCACGAACATGGAGATTCAAAATCACAGAAGGAAACTGCGGAAGGATGAAGTAACACTATATTTGGAGGTTAAAGGGACTTAAACTTTAAATGCAGGACCAGCTTTAATAGATGTACTAATCCAAATAAAGGAAAGATTGATACATATGTATCAGCAACACAGGCATATTTTGATTAAATAAAACTGAATAAGACTACATGGAAATTTAAAACATTTTACCATAAGTATTTGTATAGTGATGGACGTCCTATATATTATTAATTTGCCGAAAGGCTAGAGGGAAATAATTCTTACAACATTTAGCTACCAGATCTAGGTAGTAACTGATTACATGTAATCTGTATTACGTAATCCAAAAATTAAGTACTTGTAATTGGATTAAATTACATCTTAATATATTCTAAATCAGACTACAGTTACTTTTTTATGGATTACATTATTGCATACTATTTACACAATAGCAACGATTCACAAATTCACTGACTTTTTTATCATCTGATCCTCTTTTACCTAATATATTTTTATTTTGAAGTACCCCTGAGATTTTAAAATAAATATTTTAATAATGAAGTATCACATTTGCATGTTCATGGCTTTCTGACATTGTTTATGGTCACATGACATGCACGTAAACAGATAAAATATTTCATTTTTCAGTAAGTGTTTTATTTTTATTCATTTTTACCTTTATTTGTTTTGATTTAACATTAATTATTAGCTTTTCATTAAACTCATAATCCGCTTGCAGTCGTAATATAATCCAACCTTGACATAATATAATGTTTAATGCACTTCATTAAAGTTGTTGTTAACCACAAATGGAATATACTTTCTTACTCTTTGTATCTTTATATCAATATGGTACAAGTTTATCCTATTTAAATCAATGTGAAAAAAGAAATAGGTCAAAAGCAATTGAAAAGTAATCTAAAAGTAGTCTGATTATATTATCTAAAATGTGTAATATAATGGATTACATTACTAATTACAATTTTTATTAAGTAATGGAATCAGAACTGGATTACAGTTTGTAAGTAATTTATCCAGCTCTGTTATCTACACTTTGCTCTTATAAAGTATGTATGTTAATATTAATAAATATAAAATAATATTTCACAATAACACAGGAAATCGTTCAAAAATCTTTCTAACATGCTGATTTGGGGCTGATTTAGTAACTTTTTAATTATTATTATCAATGATGAAAACAGTTGTTCTGCTTAATATTTTTGTGGAAACTGTGACATTTTTTTCAGGATTCTTTGATGAATACAAAGTTCAAACAAACAGCATTTATTATAATTTTTTTTTTCTTTTTCCATAACATTATAAATATCTTTACTGTCACTTTAGACCAATTTATTGCACCCTTGCTGAAAAAAAGTAGTAATAATATATACGTATACAATGAATTCCCTAAAACTGCCCTTTCAAATATTATCTGTAAGTAATTAAAATGGGAAAGAAAAAAGCAACCTTGTTTGTAAACAGATTCAGGAACAAACTGGGTTCAGTGGTAGGATCACACTGGAATGGCCTCAAGAGAAAGTAATTAAACTGTTTTTTACTCCCTGTTCCCTCTAAAGTAGGTCCAAAAATGCAAAACTTTATAATAAAATGAAACAATGGAATGTCAGTTTGGACAAGAGAAGGAATATCTTGAGGGCTTTCTGTTTGTCATCAGGCATTCCAGTGGAAAAACACAGACAAGTTGTCTTTGGAAACATGTAAGGCTATTGATGAAGAAAGACTGCAACGAGGGAAACCACAAAAAGCCCCTCTGACATTCGACTGAAACATCCCAATGGGAAGTGCCCTGGGTGGAATACTTAATCAGATCAATGTTTCTTCTCTGCTCAATGTGGTGACTGAAATGACAAACTCCATTTAGGAAAAAATACAGTGAAGCAAAAAGGAAGAAAACAACTGTTGAAGGAAAACAGAACAAATAAATAATCAGTGATTTACACTCACTGTCTTCCACTGGACTGGAGTCGAGAGGATTTGGATGCACTGGATCTTCAACTGCTCTTTCCAACAGAGCACAACTGCTCCTGACAACTGAGGAAAGACAAGAAGAATAAAGGTCAAACACACCATCAGAGAAAGTCCTTGTTCTTTTATGACATGATTTAATAAATAATAGGACCAGTCAGTTTTAAGAACAGTGGCTTCAAATGAAGCCTTTAGAGGAAAGAACCAACATCTTCAACCGAAGATCATTGAGTTTTGGTTTGATTATCTCTATGCTAGTAGCCAAAGAAGACCCAGGAAGCTTTAGGACGTTTTATGATCTGCATAGTGGTTTTGCCTACAGGCAACATTACGCACAGTTCTTGTGTTTTATTAATGAAGCATTTATTTAGAACAGCTGGATGCAGTGCTGAGTGTTCTAACAATCAGCAAACATTACTAACATATATGTACATACTTTTGTGTAAAATAAATAAATACATTAAAACATAAAATTAAACATTTAGCAATACACATTCATATTAGATGGGTTTTTTTCACATTTATTCTTATAAATTATTTACAGTTTCTTGTTTTGCATAGGACATAGTTGAAACAACGTCTTACTTCAGTCTTTAGTCTCTAAAGTTTGCCTCCCTAAAGCAACAGAGCTGTTTCTTTTCGGATTGTGACTGACTAAAGCAGGCCACATTTCAAGTTATGTCATTTATTATAACAGCACTTTAAAAGAAAAATAATAAAATGTCAATGTTTCTACTTGCAGATAGTGGCACATTCCAGGAAAAAAATCATTTTCCATATACAGGCATGAAGATGTTCAGCATTTGGTTTTAGGCATTTTACCGCAAGACATTTTATTATTTTAAGATCTAGAGAGGTTGCCATAGCAAAGCAAAAGAAAGAAAAGGGAAACTCAGCCCATTCCATTATTAAAACAAAAATATTTGATGGAAGTTCATTATCACAGCAATGGCTCATTATAGTGTGCCAAATCAGCTCTGTAATGAATATGCTTTGCCAATTATGACCCACACTTACACAATCACTGGTGTACACTATTCCAGTCATGTCCCGACCTAAACCAGGTCTGTTTGAATGGTTTAATCTCCTTCCACTAAAATATCCCCTTGATTTCAGTGGTGTCAACTGTATTGAGTTAACAAGAAAAGCTTCTGAGATGGGAAGCCATGAAGAAGGATTTACAAAAACATATCATTGACTTTAATGTTCAGGTTATTAGATGAACCAAATACTGCACAATCATCATTTTGTGACATTTATGATATTAAATAGAAGATATGCTTGTCATATCAGATAAGTATGCCAATCTTTCTAGAAATATCTGTCAATCTTTTGAACAGCTGTGGCACTTAAGTTTACTAGCAGGCCCTGAGAAATTTAAATACTGTAAACATATGTTTGGAGCATGTGAAAAATATTTCTAAAGCCAATAAAATGGCAAATGATTCATACAAAAACAAATTCCTTGACCAATCAATGGTCATGGTTCATTCTGCACAAGAACAAAACACTTACAAAAACAGTGCCATTCTAAATCAAACCGATGACGTTATAACCGATGACATGAGTGACACAATGGCTTCCTTTTCATCTGAAAGTTTCAAGTAGGGAAATAAACAGCCTGGGAAGATACTTAAAAAGAATCAATAAGGCAAATTTTAGCAACAAAGGCAACTACAAGTGTGTGTGTGTGTGTGTGTGTGTGTGTGTAAGGACTCAAATGGTCAAAAGGTCAAGATTCACAAATGCTCAATCACAGCCATATGGCCAATGGGGAATTTGTCATGTGATAAAATCATGTGATTTACTGCTATATATACAAACAGACTGCTGCTGCCAAAAGGATCATTATGGGCAAGTTAGCAAAATTTAAAGCCTCATAAAATTAACTGCAAATGAACATCCTATTTCCAGTAAATGGCACAAAAAAGGGTCTATATTCACCAGATTAATTAGTCACACTCTCAGAAATAAACTAAATATAAGTACAGGCTATGTAAATCAAAGAAAAATCCAAGAAATCCCCAAATACTTTAAACTTAACTTATAATTAGTCAACAAATATTGACTAATAAAGACTGACTGCACTGCAAGTTGCAGTTTGGCTGTATAAGTGCAAAGGTTTCTATTAGTTCTGCAAAAAAACAAAGTTCTGTTTACAAGTTCTAGGCTGCCACTATAGAACGAGTAGCTCAGATGAAGAAAAAGTTGCTAGATTTGTCAAGTTCTGCCACGTCAGTGATACTGAATCTTTGAAAGATATTCTAGTGTTTAGTTCAAACACAACTGTCAAGAGCAACTGTATTTACTTCAGTGAATATCAAAGTGCAGGCACATACTTTAAAGTCTTCACTAAAAAAAAGTATTGAACATTTCTACCATTGGCTAGGCCTACTTTACTCAACATGCAATAGTGGGGCTTGTTGTTACACAATATACTAGTTGCCACAATATAATATATAGACGTTTCCCCAATATTCAAACAGTAAAACATTTATGAAAAAAACAATTCATTAAAAAAAGAAAGTCAGTTTTAAGTCAAGTCAGACTAAAGGCCATGACACACGAGGTTGACGTTAGGCTGTCATTGAGTTTCTGTCAGCAGCTTTCAGTGTGTTCCACACCGTCGGCACTAGTTGGACCCCGTCTGCGGCTTTTTGTCTGATTGAGCATGTTGAACTGAAACAGATCACTCTGATTGACTGTTCAGCTCAGTGAACCAGTGCACGAGAAAAAAAAAACAAAAGTGATGAAAGCGAGCAAATAAAGTCAAGAGGACACACGGAAGGCTGTTCTAACTTTACATAAACTAACCTAAGCATTCTAATACATGTATATTTTCATAACGACACCTGCTTATTACAGTTTCTCTCAGCTCTTCTGCAGTCGCAGAACAGACATGCTAGTTAGCCACTGGCTGTAGTCATTGCAGTGTGTTCAAGTGCAATTTTTTAGTCCAGACACACACAACACGAGGCAACAACACAGTCGGATTTCGTTAGGGTTGGGTATCGTTTGGGTTTTTTCCAATACCGGTGCCAAATCGATACTTTTAAAATGGTTCCGGTGCCTAAACGGAGCCTGAACCGATACTTATTTAAAAATGGATAAATAAATAAATAAAAATTCCCCAAAAAATGATGGATTGGCCATTAGCACTATAAACACATGATGTCTGTTTCATTCATACTGGACGCCAGAGGGCGCCCTCGCACAGAAAATCCACATATCCAGTCACAGAAGTAGCGGAACTCATGACCCTCCAGGAAATCCCTTATATGAACAAAGGCATCGGCTATTACAGCTGTAAACAGAACATATAAACGTTTTGAATGATAAAACAAAGACAATTAACACTCGACTGTGACAATATAGTTTATCTGTGTTATTCAAGCCATCTCTGGTATTTTCATAATAATTAAGTATATTTATAATCCATTGCTAATCAATGTATTCTTTTTAAAGTAGCCTATGGAACATATTTTCTGTCTCATTCTGTGACAAGAAGCCACTTCAAATCACAGAAGGAAGCATTTGACTGGTGTTGAGAAGTAAAAAGGTTATATAATGGTCTCTTTTGTTGGACAACAGGTTGAGAAATGTGAATACAGGGGAGTTTAGCTTTAGGCATTTTAATTTAAGCATGCTTAGCTTAGTTAACGGAGCTGCCATCAGAGCAAGTGTAATTACTGCATTCACGTGCTCCTCGGATGCTCTCATTTCCAGAGTTGTGCTTTTAAGTCGGAATGTGAAAACAACATGGACACTCGCGTTACTACAAAGATTTGTTGGATTTGTATTATTAGAGCTTTCCGACTTGAGTTCACGTGCATTTCTCAGTCGGGAAGTTATTTTTCACATGCAGTGCTGGCGATGATGCTTCTTACGGACAAATATTTAAATTGATCACTCAGGTATGGCACCGAAATGAGGCACCGAAATCTGCGTTCTGATTCGGTTCTAGAACATGCCGGTTACATAGGTACCGGTGCCATATTGGTACCGGGTTTCGGTACCCAACCCTATTCCGTTGCCGGTAGTTCTTTAGTGTCGGTTTGATTTGTCAAATACAATGTGGACCAGACTTATGCTGATATGCCTGGACTGTGTTGAAAAATCAAAAGTTTGGCTCTGTGAGATGAATTTCCATCCAGTTTGCTGATTTATTGAAGGATGAATGTGAAATAATGAATATCTGCACTACTGTGCGGAGCCAATAAACCATGAACAGTAAACCATGCTGGTTTTTCAGTGAAGGTTAAAACTAAGAAATCCTGAGCCATTAAGGAATCTCTCATGTGTAATTCTATACTAATTTCTAATAGCTCAAGATTTTAGTTGTAACCTCAAGTTAACCTGCTTTTATCTAGGGGGTCCGTCCATCAGCAAGAGCAACTTATTTGCACTTATTTCGCTCTGCCAAGAGAGCACTCTGTGTTTGATTTGCATGTGTGACAGTCCTCTGATTCGTATCCAAGTGGTGAAGCATGGCATCTGGCCTACCTGTTCCACCCAGTTTAGGGCTTGGGCTTCTTATCTGACAGCTGGGCTTCATTAAGCACACACTCTCAGAAGAGTGCTGTCCCTCCTCACCAACATGATACACACCACAGCTTACCCAGCTGACTCATCTGCTGAGAGAGTGCCCAAGTCTGCCCAAGTCTTATCCTAGACTTTCTGAGAGGATAACGTCGACTCTTAATACTCTATATTTTAGCTGAGAGGCACACAGGCAATCCTCACCACTAATGTCTGATGCTGTGGAGAAGTTGAGACATTCAATGTGGGTTTAAAGGGATCATGCATTTTCAGATCTTGATATTATGTATCTAGGAGTTAGCTTATGAAGCAAGCAAAGTTTTTGCACCAAAAAAAGTTAGGATATTTGTAATAATTATCATTTTTCTTCCTTATTTTCACTTTCTGTCAAAAACACTCCATTTCAAGTGGTGTTACCTCTTTGAGAAACGCAAGTAAGCGGCCACTTCTGTGATTGGTGAACTTCATTGCACCGTATCCATGCACAGCATGTGACATGTTTTGAAGCTCGAGATGGTAAGTGCTGT